CAAAGGCCAAGGCCAAGGAAAAAACTGCGGCCAAACCCAGTGTTGTTCCAAAGGGCAAGGCGAAACCTGCGGCCAAAGCCAAAGCAACAGCTCAGCTTGGGCCAGAGGGAACACCCAAGCCTAAACCAAAAAAAGAGTCTTGTGTGAAGATGACCATCACACCCGCTGCGCTGATGGAACGTGTCAATATGCCGAGTGTCCAGTCACAGTTGAACTTCATTCCAAAAGTGAAAGAAGAGCCACCAGAAACATGCATGGATACGATGAAGACGGTAGATGAAGCTGCAACACCTTTGACTTTGACGACTCATGAGGCTGTGGAATCCGACTTGCCCAACGGACCTACTGATGCATATGATGATGCTGATGAATCGCGACCTCCAACTGTGGAATCAGTGGAGGCAACTATGCCATCATCATCCACATCATTATCATTGCCAACGCCTTTGCCAACTGATCAGACTGTGGAACCCAAGTCGCTCGACAAACCTACTGAGAGTACAGCGGAAACAATGGAGGTCGATGCTGATGCCGATGCTAACGCTTCTGGCACTGATGCTGATGCCAAGGCCACTGACCAGGCAACTGCAACAGCTATGCCAACAGCTAACGATGAGACAGTTCAGGTTCCACAGGCTGGGCTATGTTTTGGTTTGTGAGTTTGTATCAACTAGTTTTCCATGAGACTAAATGAGACTGTGACTATTACTATGACTATGAATTTGATGATCAGACTAATACTAACTTTTATTTTATAATTTGTAAGATAATATAATTCAATATAACAATATATAATACAATATAATATATAACTATATATGCTTTTGAATATTTGAGTTGACTATTTGTTATTTTTTGAAGTAGTTATGACTCAGATTCAGTACAGTTTCTTATGATTTAGTACATGTTACATGTTGCTCCGATTGCTTTCCTGTGTACCAGGTCGATGATGTGGCTGACCAGCAAACCCTCAGCCAAGAATTGGAAGAGTTGATTGATACACATGACTTTGAGGATGATGAGCAGGATGCAGAAGCAGATCCACCAGATGCAGAAGCAAATTCTCTTTCTGGCAAGGACACTCCTACACTCATGCGTTTCATTGCTGCGGCCCGGAAACATCCTCTTTTCCAAGACTACTGTGCTACAGTCACTCACAGATGACTTTAAACAAACTATTTTTGCTTTTTGTTCTGACTAAATCATTCGGTATTCGAGTCATTCAACTGTTAGTAAATAGTGAATCGAAATGACATGATTCTCCTAGGGTTTTCTGTCAATTATTTTTTGTTGTCAGGTACACATTGAAGCTGAGATTCCTTTTGGTGATCCGATTGAGGGCGATGTCCTAGCCGATGTGGAATGCTTCAACCAATTTTTGAAAGATCGAGGTCATCCCACACTCACACTTCTTCCTGAGCCAACGACCCAGCCTACCAAGTCTACAGAGTGTGAGTCTCAGGCCAAGGTTTCCCCCAACAACCTGGCGGTTGATCCTGACGTCAATGTGTTGAGTGAGTTTCTGAACAACGACACGCTTGATATGACTGACTTCTTGAAGAAGCTTGCAAGTGTCCATGTCAGACAGGCTTGTAAACACATTGATGCTACGAAGCTTTCTTTGCCATCCCTTCTGAAAGTTGGGTCTTTGTGCGCAGGTTCAGGCACAGGTGAGCTTACTTTTGAGGCAGCAGTTAGCTATCTCAGCGACCATTTCTAGGTACCAGTTGATACTGAAATAGCATTTTGCTGTGAGAAGGTGGGATGGAAACAAGAACATCTACGGGCGCACATTGGATCTTCCAACACTTGTATCTACGATGATGTTACCACTCTGGGCGCCCATGGATTTCGATCGGATGTAGACTTTGCTGTGGCCTCTGAGAATGCGGAGCGTCCTAAAGCAAAGGCAAAGGCAAAGGCTGTGAAAGACTTGAATGAGCTTGCCAAGACGCCTCATCATTGCATACAGCATGACAAGCCCTGCACCCTTCCTACAGACATCTTCATCTTGAAATCTGGTTTTAGTTGCAAGGGGAACTCACGGATGAATGTCCGATTTGCTGAATACAGGACAAGTATGGCACGATCAGACCTGGAGAACACAAGTGTCTCAACATTCTATGGCACACTGGGGGTCATTGCATCAGTGAGACCAAAAATATGTGTTGGAGAATGTTGACAGCATCGGCAGTGTTGACCCTCCTCCAGGTGAAGTAAGCAATCTTACGAAGATTGTCGATGAGCTGAAGTCCATCGACAATGGAATGTATGGCGTCCGTGTCTTTGAACTCAAGACTGATCGCTACTTGCTCCCTCAAAGCAGGCCAGTGGGTTTGTAATTAAAATGCACATATATATATGATTATATGAGTGTGATAGATATAGTTTAATAATATGAGTCATATGAGTTTGATTTTATGATATAGTTTAGGTAGAACAAAATAAGTTATTAGTATCTTGAGTTCGCCTTCTCATCGCAGGAATCGGGTGTACATTGTCGCTATTCGCTTGGATGGTGACATCACAAGCCTGTCACCTGATGAGTTCTTTGATCAACTTGGTGATCTTCTCAAGGTCATGCAGATTGAGCCCTTGCCGGTGGAAGCAGTGCTTTTGAAAGACTCCGATGTGACACTTCAACAGGAGCTACATCGTAGGTTGGAACACCGTCGGGCACAGGATGCAAAAGCAGAAGAAGAAGGTTTTGATGCTCCTCAGGACATTGTTTTGGTTGCACTTCATCAGTGTCAGCGTTACTAATCTATATGATTCTATGATTATATGGCTAGTAATTTATTGATATTTTTTCTTTCATTGTTGTTGTTCTTGTTATTTTTGTCTGTCAATGCTAGTATGAACCACAACAATAGCACGTTGTGAATGTGATTTGTGGTCGCCGAAGACTTGAAGAGTACTAGCTTACAAGGCTACAAGTTACAAGAGGTAAAATCACTTTGACTTCGACGCTGGATTTTTGAGTAAGTCATTGGTTGATTTGATAGGACAAATGGGTGCCTTTGCACATGGATGTGTGCGAGGAGAAGGGGCTACCATGGCCTCCACCTGTGCCAATCGATCTCGAGTGCAACGACTGGTTCTTGTCAGCACCAAAGAGAGAGCAGGAAATCATTTGCATGACATCAGTCGATAAGTGCATTTGGGTGGACACATCGCAAAATGCAAGCAGAGTTCGTGCATCCAATCATTTGTCCTCACCGACTGTTACTCCCGGAAGTCACCTGTGGCACTTTCCTTCTCGACGCTTTCTCACTGGAAGAGATCTCATGCGACTTCAGGGAATTCCGATGGAATGTTTCGGGGGATCAGGGCTTAGTGACAACCAACTTAGTGATTTGGCAGGAAATGCCTTTTCCAGCAGTGTCTCCTTAGCACTTGATGTAGCTTTGCTTCTGCTCGCTCAAAAACAGGATGCAGGCCCAGGCTTGGATGTGTGCACTTTCCTTCGGTCGCTGGAAGGATTCAACACCCCTGCTTCCAATCAGGTGACTCACCTGCGGAAGAGTTTGAGCTGTGAGTCTGGTCATGGTGGCAGTGAGTGGTGATTTTGGCGACGCAGCCACGTTTGCGGGACGACTTTCCCAAAGACCCAGTCCGTCAGAAAGGAAAAAGAACTGCGAGTGTTCATTCACTGTGCAGCGGCATTGGCATTTTGGCATTGACATTGTAGACGGATGAATATATACTCTTATTACAAGAGTAGAGATTTAAAGGTGTTGAATATGTTTTGGAAATGTGTTGGAAATGGGGCCGAAATGATATGGAAATGTTTTGGAAATGTGTTGGACAATCTTGGAAATGTTTTGGAATTGCTACAAGTTATGATTTTTTAATGACAAAAATAAATGTATATCTTAAAGCTTGATTTCTAAAGACTATAGAGCATTGCTTTTGAACTTAGATGGCATAAAAACATGGTGTTTGCGACCTGCGATAGTCCTTGATAGTTTCAGTCATGTTTTGATTGCTGTGATTCCATGTCATGGGACTCAGACTTGCAGCACAGTAGACTGAATAGCAGTGCACTTCGTTCGTGCCAGCCAGGTGAATCATCATGAATCTGAAGATCAACAATGGATGACCATGACTTGTTTGATGAGGTTGATGCTGATTGAGCTGAATGTCGCGTCACGTATTGTTCAGTTTTAACCTAGGCTAAAAATCATGCCCTACTGCGTGGGTCAACTTTTATTTGCTGATTGTTGATGTTGAGGACTGCCGTGCGAGAAAGGTGGCAAGGATGTTTCATGAGGACTTCTGGAATTCGGATGGAAAGACAAGGTTTCCAGGTTGCAGGGACGCACAGCCTTTTGTACAAATTTGTGAGACTGAAGCCACAACACGCCTGGAGATAAGACGGTTCTGAGCTGTTTCTACCAGGGTGTGTTGTACAGTAGACATACCGTGTGGCCGTTTCGGCTTAGGCGCCTTGAGCTAGTTGGCGCGCTGAAAAAGGATTGCTCCAAGTTTCAAGTCTGCGTCTTTCAAATAGATTCAAAAAATATATCAAAAAGTTAGTTCAGAAAAGAGACATTAAATTGCAAGTAGGTTTTCAGTTTTTACCATTGACCTCATTGGCCATCCACCAATGGTGAGAGGGATGGCCCCATGCATTTAAACACCGATGGGTGACCTTTGATTCCAAGGTTTCGACGCGCGCGCACGCACGAAGGGGTCTTTTGTGTTCTACCTTTGTTTGCTTCCTAGCGGCCTTTACACGTATATACCTACACCTTAATAGAACTCTTGTTTACTATGTAATAAACATCAATTTGTCGTGCTTTTCTTTCGGCTCTCAGGAATTGGACTGAGGGTTTATGTATTAAACCGTGTTGAACACCTACAGGGCGTGGTACCGCGCCGCGCGTTAGTTAGATCTACAAATAATTTCGAACTGTATTGTATATACCAAAGGCCGCGTTCTGTGCAGCGTTGATCGAATTCCTACGAAAATTTTGACAGAGCCCTGAGAGAGAAAGGTGCAAGTTCAGATGCCGGACCACACCAACCGCGCAGTGGAGGCGCAGCTGACAATTGTTTTCTTGACTTTGTGGAGGCGCCCCAAGATAACTTGCTAGCAGGCTCTTGCTGATCCAATCAGTGTGAGCGTTCCAGCATATCTGCAATTGCTGGTAACCACACATAGCAGAGTGTTTGTGTGTTGGGTTTTCTGCTGGGAACCGCAAGTTGGTGGACAATCAGCCTGAGGTGATGCCCTTGTACCGCTTGTGGCCGGAGGATTGGGCTCCTTGATAGATAGGGAGTTTCCTGATTTTACTGCAGCCGTGGAAAGGCTCTTTCAGATGCAACTAACCACTACGACCAATCTTTTATCCGAACATCTGAGTGCTCGCTGGGACAGATGGATGGACAGATGGACAGATGGACAGAAGGTACATGTGGATGGACAGGTGACCTCCAAAATCTCACACTAAAGCTCTACTTCAAGGCGGAGTTCTGAGCACTTGCCCAACAACTCCCTGAGGTGTTGCCTAGCTTTGTTTTGACCCCCTTTGCCATGGTGAAGCTTCAAAAGTCCACTCGCGTCCACCACAGCAAAGTCAAAGTTGTCATTGGGACCAACAGGCCACCGGCAAGGAACAATGTTCCCACCATGACAATCCGTGTAGATTCCCTTGAGTTTCTCAACGCTTTCAATAATCATCTCAGCTGACCAAATCAAGTACTGAAGCCACATTTTTTTCAGAATACTGTCCGTTCAAAAATCGGTTGCTAACATCGTGCAACGTGCGCAATGGTGCTTGAATACTGTTGCTCAAGGGTTTGTCCGCGAAACATTGACTGTCAACATCATGATGCCAGCAAGTCTTGGTCTTATATAAGTGGTCAAAGTTGGTAGAGAGACAATTCCTACTAAAGGCTCCAAGAAGCTTCCGCAAGACAGGTCTTGTGGTCCCAGCTCTTGGAATGTGGCCTCCTCAACCCTCCTCCCCCTTTCCCTTCAATAACTCCAGCTCCATACGCAAAAAGAGAGAGGGAGAGAGAGAGAGAGAGTGAGAGTGAGAGTGAGTGAGAGTGAGAGTGAGAGTGAGAGTGAGAGTGAGGTGTGAGAGTGAGGTGTGAGAGTGAGAGTGAGAGTGAGAGAGACAAGCAAGGGAAACAACAGTAAGATGCGCAGATGGGGCACCGAATATGGAACAATGTTGTAGATTTAGATGTTACAATATAGGATGCAGTTGCTAGTGCTCGCACCTACTGCTGGATTTGTTGAGTTGACAGTACTGCAAACATATCAATAAACCTCCTCTAGTTGATCCGAACCCAAACAACCAGGTGATGTTTTTGTTACTACTATTACTACTACCGCAACAACAACAACTACAACAACAACAACTACTACTACTACCACTCCTACTCCTACTCCTACTCCTACCCCTGCTCCTACTCCTACTCCTACTACTACTCGCCTACTCCTACTCCTACACCTAATCCTACTACCACTACCACTTCCACTACAACTATCACTACCACTACTACAACTAGGACTACGACTACGACGACGACGACGACTACTACTACTAAACCCCCACTCCCACTCCTACTCCTACTCCTACTCCTCCTACTACTGCTGCTACTACTACTACTACCACTACTACTACCACTACTACTACTACCACTACTACTACTACTACTACTACTACAAGCAGTTCCCGGGCAAGCCGACAGCGGAAGTTTCCTATAAGAACAAATTGACCTATAGGAGTGTCCCGGTTCTTTCCACCATGCGTGTCCCTCGTGTCCCTCAGTCAGACGCATGAGTGATGAGTGATGAGTGAAGCATAGCTCTAGCTCTAGCTCCACTAAAGCTAACTGGAGCTAGACGTTAACTATGATGGATGTGACAGGTTGTCTAGACACGAAGCTAATTAGCTCAAATTTGTCAACCTCTCAAAACACGTGTTTTGAGGTCTCCAGAATGTAATCGAAGTGACCACTTTTGAGTAAGCAAAGTAGCTGAAATTTGTCAACCTCTCAAGAGAGCCGGGTGGTCGGACATGACTCAGCTGCAGGGGCGCCAGAGCAGCCGCGAGAGATGACTCAGCCGCGTACTAAAGTTGTACTACCGAGTCGCCAGTTCTCAGCTTCCAGCTCCACAGATTGCTCCGCGTACTAAAGCTGCGCTACAAAGTCGCCAGTTCTCATCTTCCAGCTCCCCAGATACTCCGCGTACTACAGTTGTACTACAAAGTCGCCAGTTCTCAGCTTCCAGCTCCACAGATTGCTCCCCGTACTAAAGTTGTACTACAAAGTCGCCAGTTCTCAGCTTCCAGCTCCCCAGATACTCCGCGTACTAAAGTTGTACTACAAAGCCCCGTACTAAAGTTGTACTAGAAGGTCGCCAGTTCTCATCTTCCAGCTCCCCAGATATTCCGCGTACTCCGCGTACTAAAGTTGCACTACAAAGTCGCCAGTTCTCAGCTTCCAGCTCCACAGATTGCTCCGCGTACTAAAGTTGTACTACAAAGTCGCCAGTTCTCTATCTTCCAGCTCCCCAGATAGTCCGCGTACTAAAGTTGCACTACAAAGTCGCCAGTTCTCAGCTTCCAGCTCCGCAGATGCTGTGCCTGCCGCGAAATCTGCGCATGGAGGTTCACAAAGTGCTGTGCCTGCCACGAAATCTGCACCTCGAGGTTCACAAAGCGCTGTGCCTGCCACGAAATCTGCACATGGAGGTTCATAAAGTGCTGTGCCTGCCACGAAATCTGCACATGGAGGTTCACAAAGTGCTGCGCCTGCCACGAAATCTGCGCATGGAGGTTCACAAAGTGCTGCGCCTGCCACGAAATCTGCGCATGGAGGTTCGCAAAGTGCTGCGCCTGCCATGAATTCTGCACATGGAGGTTCACAATGTCACAAAGTGCTGCGCCTGCCACGAAATCTACACATGGAGGTTCACAAAGTGCTGCACCTGCCACGAAATCTGCGCATGGAGGTTCACGTACAAAGTGCTGCGCCTGCCACGAAATCTGCGCTGGGAGGTTCACAAAGTGCTGTGCCTGCCACAAACTCTACGCGTGAAGGTTCACAAAGTGCTGTGCCTGCCACAACATCTGCGCGTGGAGGTTCACAAAGTGCTGTGCCTGCCACGAAATCTGCGCCTCGAGGTTCACAAAGTGCTGCGCTTGCCACGAAATCTGCGCATGGAGGTTCACAAAGTGCTGCGCTTGCCACGAAATTTGCGCCTCGAGGTTCACAAAGTGCTGTGCCTGCCACAAAATCTGCGCATGGAGGTCCACAAAGTGCTGCGCCTGCCACGAAATCTGCAAATGGAGCTTCACAAAGTGCTGTGCCTGCCACGAAATCTGCACTTCCAGAAACAATTGAAAACTCTAATCACAATGGAGGGACGATTCCGACCATGACCGAGCATGATCCGAGAATGACCCAAGACCGTCTCGCGCACGTCATTCCGCAAAGCTTGATTTGCCAGCTTCGGAGCCACCCTTTCCATGGAAAACACAGCATTTCGTGCGTCCGCTGTCTCTCGAAAACGCATTTTGTATTGCGCTTGCCACGAAATCTGCACATGGAGGTTCACAAAGTGCTGCGCCTGCCACGAAATCTGCGCATGGAGGTTCACAAAGTGCTGTGCCTGCCACGAAATCTGCACTTCAAAAACTCTAATCACGATGGAGGGACGATTCCGACCATGATCCGAGCATGATCCGAGAAAAACCCGAGACTGTCTCGTGCACGTCGTTCCGCAAAGCTTGACTTGCCAGCTTCGGAGCCACCCTTTCTATTGAAAAACACAGAATTCGTGCGTCCGCTATCCCTCGAAAACGCATTTTGTATTGCGCCTGCCACGAAATCTGCACCTCGAGGTTCACAAATTCAAAGTGCTGTGCCTGCCACGAACTCTGCACGTGGAGGTTCACAAAGTGCTGTGCCTCCCACGAAATCTGCACATGGAGGTTCACAAAGTGCTGCGCCTGCCACGTAAACAGGAGCTAGAGCTATTGAAACTAGAGCTAACTGGAGCTAGAGCTCTTGAAACTAGAGCTACCTGGAGCTAGAGCTATTGAAACTAGAGCTACCTGGAGAGCTAACTGGAGCTAGAGCTCTTGAAACTAGAGCTAACTGGATGATGAGTGGTGTATGATGAGTGAGTGGTGTCTGATGAGTGGTGTATGATGAGTGGTGTATGATGAGTGGTGTATGATGAGTGGTGTATGATGAGTGGTGTATGATGAGTGGTGTATGATGAGTGGTGTATGATGAGTGGTGTATGATGAGATGTGTATGATAAGTGGTGTATGATGAGTGGTGTATGATGAGTGGTGTATGATGAGTGGTGTATGATGAGTGGTGTATGATGAGTGGTGTATGATAAGTGGTGTATGATGAGTGGTGTATGAACAGTTAGTTCTTGAATGTCCGTAACACGGAAGTTTCGTTCACCAAACTTCCTTTGACTACTACTACTACTACTACCACCACCACCACCACTACTACTACTACTACTTCTTGCTGTCTAGTAAAATTTCATAAAATGTCTAAGGCCCAGGGCTTATAAATTCTCTTTAAAACATCAACAAATCGTTTGAGAAGCTCACAAAAGGATACTCCTCACAAGGGCTTGTCCCTTCAGGAATTCCGCATTACTACCCCCGAGTAATTTGATCCTGTGTCCGTCTCCCCCCTTAACAGATTATTTTAGAGGAGGTGGACTTCATGAATGGTACCTCAGACCTTGTAGACCTTCGTCTAGACCTTCCACGTGGGGAGGGTTTATTAATCCGGTCTTCGCATTGCTCTTGCCTGATTCTGAGGCGAAAGCTTTGTATGCCTTTCCTACCTTCGGTGTGTCGTTCTTGTGACTGGTCGTTGCAATACGAGAGCATCACCTTTGTTGCACTTTTGGTAGGTCGCAATATTGCAGGTAGGCTGCCGAGCTCAATCTTGTTGGACAAATTGCTCACGCAGTTTGATGGTTCCATAGAACCGACCCAAGGTGCCACTTCAATGCCCTTCCAACACACCAAGAGCTGGCCAGACCCACAAGGACTCGAATGAGACGAGTGATCCTGGTGACTTTGACTTTGACTTCAGTGCCTTGGGTGATAATGAGTAGCCGGTGTAGCCAAAACGAAACAATCTTGCGCGAAGTGGTCCTGTCATGTCCTGTCAGGTCTCACATCGGTAGGGCACTGGCCTTATACCTTAAAGGGAAGACCTTCCTGGGCACACTCAATCCCTGACCTGCTTTTTTGTGATCACCTATATATACAGTACTTTCATTCCTTGCAGTCCCTTGATTTATGTGATGGGATGTTGAAGTTAGCCAAGATGATCTACTTGTTCGTCAGCATTTGTGGCTATGTGTACACTGGCTGCTACACCTGTGGCAATGTACTCTTGAACTTCTCTCAAGATGTTCCTCAGCGGCAATATGAGGCTTTCCAGCAACCTTCGCCGTTGCGAAAAGCATTCGACAAATCAACCTTTGGAGGATCATGAGAGTCGTTCGGCTTTACTCAGACACCCCCACCTCCCTTTGATCCAAAACCAACCAACCAACCAACCAACCAGCCAGCCAGCCAGCCAGCCAGGCAAACAAACAAACAAACAAACAAACAAACAAACAAACAACAACCACGACGACGACAACAACAGCGACAACGAAAAAGACAAGGACAAGGAACAAGCAAAAGTTGCAGCCCCGTCAGCAAACAATTTCTGACTTTGTGTTTACAGAGGGGGTAGAAACAAGCAAGCAGAAGGAGAAACAGCAGCAACACCTTTCTGAAGGACCACGTACGAAACCATGGCTTTGTTTTGCTTGAAGTCTTGCAGTTTTTTACCTTTTCCCACGAGCAGGAAACGGATGTATCAGAGCGGCAGTTTCAGGAACGTGAAAATGGGGAGGTCACATCATTCTAGGTTTCCTCTGACGCAGCTGTTCCAAGGGATTGCTTGAGTGGGGGGGCATCGGAAACCATGTTGTGAGCAAGGCTTTGTTACTGGCTGTGTTATTTTTTGCGCAGCGCTTGTCATGACTGTTTCTTTTCATCGGAATATTTTTTCCACCAGTATCAATCCTTTAGCGGATTTGCTGAAAGCGTTGCATGAAAGGGAGACCTGTGATCAAGCGGCGTCAGGATAGCCTCATCACAGTTGCCCGCACGGCTTTGAGCTTGGTTTCCTGGCCTGAACAAACCCTTCAAGTGAAGCAGAAACGAGATCCGAGTGGTGGTATGATCATCATGCAAACTGTTATGGTTGTTTCAGCCTGTACCGAGGTCTTGATGCTGAATTTTCCGTTGATCTGCCAGCCCTGTCGCAATGCCTTGTTCCGCCTGCTTGCGGGAACTGGGTGCGTGAGATCTTGCGCGCCTTGTGCCACTGAAGCTGAGAGTGGACAAGAGCCGCTCAGCATCAATTGACAGCGCCGATGCAGAACCTGATTTTTTTGCGTGCTGGTTTATATGAGCATCCGACAAAACTTCCGTACATGTACTTTAGCCATCTTTAGCCTTATATAAGTATTCGGGTCGCTTTGCGACGACAACCACCTGCAAGAGGGTAAATAGAGTGAATACATACGATAATTAAACTACACAATGTACATGGTCAACACCTTAGAAATGAATGCAGCATGAAGTGGACGAAGAATGTATAGAGAAGAGTCTATACTACAAGTTTGGACCCTCTTACAAATTGTTTGCAAGCATTGTTGGATACATTTTTCGACGCCCTTGAAATTGCACATTATTCAGGGGGCCTAAATGAAACAGGGCATGCTGTGCTGTGCAATAAACTACAGTATACGCTTGCAAGCAGCTGATGCATATGCTACCGCAATAAGCTACACAATTGCGACCAGCTGATGCAGGTGATGCAATCATTTGAAATATGTTAGAACATCATAGATTGTTGAGAGGAGTCGTTTGTTTGCCTTTCATGGACGTGGTGATGCAAATGATACGACAATGAGAAATACAGTCAGGTATAGATGAAATGTGAAAACCATGAATGTTTTCTCTCACTCCCACTCTTCCCGCAGACACACCTCATGATATAGAATATGCATTTTCGTTCCCAAACGAAGACCCGAAACGCACTACTTACAGTTTAGCGCGTCAGCACCTTCGCTGCCGGCGGATTCTGAATTGATAAAAACCTTGCAAAGCTGAGCCAACCCTAGACCCATACTGATACCCTTTCTCGATTGAAAGTAACTCATTGCCAGCATCCCAAAAACACTGGAAACCGATAGGGGCCAACGGGCCAACCCAAGTACTTTTGGCATTTGGGGACACGAAGAAGCTTTGTCCGCCACTCATACCCCCCCAAAAGATAAATATATATGTACCTACGTCCCCGGGTGTAAAGGAGAGACATCATTTAGCACCTGTTTCCGCAGCTCGGCTCAAACGTATGTGGGGTCATCCTGCACCGTGCAGGTGCGGGATTTGCCTCACGCTTCGGAGGGTCTGCCGGCACATCGCAGACTTTTCCGGAGCGCCGGGCTACGTGACTTTCGCCGCTGACCGCCTCAGGTCGTTAGCCGGCGAGCTTTGCGACTTCAGCGACAACCTGGTGGTGAGGGGAGCGGCACCTCCACTCACCCATCTCCCCGCCAGAGAGAGTGGCGTGAGGGAGACTGGGCCTCCTCCTGAGGTCAGGTCACGGGAGGCTGGTGACCACATCGAGGAGAAGAGCGAGGAGTCCAGGCAGGACCAAGGGCAAGGCAGAGAGAAGGCATTGACATCGTCGGAGGCTGGAAGGACAAGAGAGGAAGAAGAAGAAGGCAGAAGTTGTTCCCGGACACCTCCACCTCACCCTCGACGAGACGTACCCCCAGAGGAAGCACGAAAAAGTTTGGCTGCAAAGAAAAAGTCATCACCACCACCTTCGGAATACCATTCTCCTCGAGATCATCCACGGGTTGCGAAAAGAGAAGACGAGTCAGGTGATCAAGGAGAAGCTGAACTGGAGGAGACGCCAGGACTAAGGGAGGTGCATCCGAGCTCTCCCGTCCCTCGAGAGGAGGCAGAAGTGAGATCAGGTGAGAAGAAGAGAAGACATCGATCGAGGAGCCGGAGGCGGAGACAGCGTCATTCCGTGTCAAGGGACAGGAGGTCTTCCAGTCGTCCTCGTGCCACAGCCAGTCGGCCATCTCCTCCTAGACCTTCAAGCCCACCGAGACCTAAGACTCCTCCTCGACCTCCGCCACACTGGAAAGGACCGGTGACGATCAGGCCCAACAACCCGTTGCTGCGAAGACCACCAGCTCCTCCTCCTGATCGCGATCGGTACGGGACCAACAAGGGTGTCAAAAAGACGGAGAGGCAATCCGACTTCAAGGAGTTCCTGGAGGCAAAGCGGTACCTCAAAGACAAGGAGCGGAAGGGAGGCCGTTGATGCCTCCTCGTGTTCTGGTACGCCCCGCAGCAGTGGGGAGGCGCGTGAGACACGTGGAAGAAGTTCGGAGGAGACCATCAGCAGAGTTCGAAGTTGCACCAACCTTTGCCGAGGGAGCGGAGGTTGAAGCCAAGGACATTGCACTGGGCGAGTGGGCTTCAGGCCTGAAGATTCTATGTCGAGGAGTCTACTGGGGCAGGGAGATCCGGCTTGCAGTCGACATCGAAGGCATCAAATTCCTGAGGGAGCCCTGGAACTCGAAGGGAGGCTAGCCGGGACCGAAGACGAGGCCCTCCTGAGATGGGGCTCCCAGGAAGAGAGCAAAGGTTTGGTGAGATTGCATGTTTGTCCCAGCAGCTGTTCGAACGTGCCCGAGAGCGACGACCTGATACACCTCAAGTTCGCCCAGAAGCGTGGAGACCACGATCCCGGTTGGGCGAGCAACATGAAGAGTTCAGCCGGACTGGACGAATTGAAGAGGTTGGCAGAGAAGTCGGACCAGGAGGCTCGAGCCAACAAGAAGAGGGCCATGGACGCCGAGGAGTACACGCCCACCAAGGCCGCGGGGAAAGAAGACGAGAAATCCAGTTCGAGCTCAAGCAAAAAGAAAAGAAAGAAGAAAAAGAAGAAGAAGAAGCCTTTCAAAGTGGAAGGGCGCAAGGACTATCAGCTGCTGTTCAAGACCACTGGCCTCGACCAAGATGGAAAAGTGCGCCGCCGAGTAGCCAGGTTGGCCCGAAAGGCCATGAAGAAGAGGAGCAAGGACAGCAGCGAAGGGGAAAGCTCTTCCTCGGGGACCGAAGAGGACGCAGAGGAGATGGAGACCTTGTTCCAGGAGTCCCAGAGGACGCAATTGGCGGCAAAGGCTGGACCAGGGTCGCTTACAGCCCATGCCGTGCGGCAGATGAAGAGGCAGATGTTGACTTCGATGGGCCAGGACTTCGAAGAAGGTGGCCGAATTCAACCTATCACCCTGCAATTTTACCGCCAGGTCCTCAAGGAGAAGCTCAGCCCGATTATGAGTCGGGAGGTGATGAATCTATGCACGGTGATCGATGCCCTGCTGGATGGACGAGTGGCATTTGCCACGGACGTGGCAATTCAGAGAGTCAAGGCCCTAGAGGCCATATCGAACGGCGCATCGTGGGTGGTGGCACAGCGCTACGAACTTTGCCCTCCAGACCTTGGACAGATAGCATCGACCTCGGAAGCGGCAGCCGCGGCAAGGGAGACCAAAGAGGAGGCTCGGGCTCGCACCCTCCAAAGGGGAGCTTGGGAAGGAGGCCCAGCTCCTTGGAGGGGAGCGAAAGGAGAAGGCAAGAAGGGAGAAGGCAAGAATAGCAGAAAACAGTGCGTTTGATCGTCGAGCCTTTATATATATGATCGAGGGTCCTTTAGGTATCATTTCGTAAAAAGAAACAAACACAAATGATTTAATTTTCAATTCAAATATTTATTGCAAAAAGCATTTGTAAATTAAAAAATGGATAGATTTTGATGTTTTATTTTTTAAAACGATTTTTTTAATTTATTCAATTTTTTTCAAATTGTAACTTAAATATATTTAAAAATTAAAAGATTTCTTTTTGTTTGTGGATTTGGCTATTTAAAAAATTAAATAAATTAAATAAATTAAATACATTAATTAAAGTAAATCGACGTGTATATATTTTTATTTAAATTAAATTAATTAGATACATTAATTAAAGTAAATCGACGTGTATATAATTTTATTTTTTTAATTTTTAATTTTCAAAAGGCTTTTGTAAATTAAAAAAATAGATAGATTTTGATTTATTGTTTTAATTTTTTTAAAATTTACAAAAGGCTTTTGTAAATTAAAAATTGAATAGATTTTGATTTATTGTTTTAATTTTATTTATATTTTTTTATTTATATTTTTTTAATTTACAAAAGGCATTTGTAAATTCAAAAAATAAATCGATTTTTATCTATTTTCTAAATCTTATTTTTTTGAATTTATTTATTTTTTTAAATAGCCGGATGCCACTGAGTCACTCTATTAAATAGAATTTGTTTAATTTACAAAAGGCTTTTGTAAATTAAAATTGTAAAGTAAAAAATACATAGATTCTTATTTATTTTTGTTATTTCTTTAATTTAGTTTTTTAAATTATAAATTAAATATATTTAGAAATTAATAGATTTCTTTTTGTTTGTGGATTTGGCTATTTAAAGAAATAAAAAATACAAAAAATAAATCAAATAAATGAAATCGACGTGTATTTATTTTTTTAATTTCTTCTTTTTTTAAATTTACAAAAGGCTTTTGTAAATTTAAAAGTAAAGAGATTTTGCTTTATTTGTTAATTCTATTTATTGCTTTTTAATTTACAAAAGGCTTTTGTAAATTAAAAATTGGATAGATTTTGATTTGTTTTTTTAGTTTTATTTAATGTTTTTTAATTTACAAAAGGCTTTTGTAAATTAAAAAATAAATAGATTTTGCTTTATTTGTTAATTCTATTTATTATTTTTTAATTTACAAAAGGCTTTTGTAAATTAAAAATTGGATAATTGGATAGATTGTGATTTATTTTTTTAGTTCTATTTAATAAAGTTTTTTGATTTACAAAAGGCATTTGTAAATTAAAAATAAATCGATTTTGATTTTGTGGATGCGAAACCACTCCGTTTTGAATTTCGACAGGCGCACAAATCGAAAGTGTACCCTTGACTTTGTTTGGCTCAAGTGAAATAAGCCCGACGCGCTGGGCAACCCCCTTTCATAACCACAGGTTAGGAGCCCAAGGTGACCTTTTTTTTCTTTTTCCAAGTCCACCTCTTGCCGCTTCGTGGGCGGAAGAGTGTTGGTCCCCATGGAGCAGCGGAGGCGACGGCAACAGCGGTCGCGGGAACGAAAAGAAGCTGCGGCGCCGCTGGAAGTCGGGGCTGCGGATCGCCGGCTGGACGCCTTGATCGAGGAGGAGATGAAGGCGAAGGCGGCAAGGGCGCAATCAGTGCCGGTGGGAGCGGCTG